GATCCAGAGTGGGACATATCTAACAAGTCCTCGAGAGTCTTTTCTGTGCGCCTGACTGTCTCTGCATCTCCAGGTCAGCCACCTTGGCCTCAAGGGAGCACACACATTCCCTGAGAACCAGGAGCTCCTTGCACCGAGCACACACCCAAGACTTCTGTCCAGTGGGCAGATAGTCATACATGTGACACTCCGTGCAAAACACTGGATAGCCCCCAACCCCCTGCTGGCATTCTGGCTTCATAATTCTTTTTAAAATAAGTAAATATAATCCCCCTTTTAAAACCCTTTTGTATTTATGTGGGTTTTCTTGTCGAAGTCAAATTACTTTACGGGGAAGACAAAAAGCCTAGGGCCTTCGCTTTCTGGCTCTTCTTGGGCATCTCACAGAGCCCCTAGGCTAAGAGTCCCTAGGCTTCAGCTCGTGCCAGAGGCTCGTGCCTCTGTCAAGGTGGTTTCTTAAATACTAAAGTACAGTCAATCACAGTCAAACAGTGCCCCTTCCTCTCCCTCTCTCAAGCAGCCAGGACTCTGCAACAACTCTAAGCACTTTCACACCCTCCCAGACCAGTCCCAGACCAGTTCTCCCGTACAATATCCTCAGCTGAAATCCCCTCAGCTGAAAGCAAGTAAAAAAACACTCACTCTCTAGCACCTCTGCCTCCTGCTCCTGCTCAGAGCTCAGCTGGGTCTATTAAGTGGTAACTAATCCATGTCAGTTGATCTTGTGTATGTTACTCAGGAGAGCCTTCTAAACTGGGGTGCTGGAGATCTGTGTTCAAATCTCCAGGTGTCTTTAATTTTATCTAAAAACAATTATAGCGAGGCCTAATTTTAGTTGACATGGCTGAGCTGGCAGTAGGGGGGTTGACCCTTCCCCCCTTGTGCCATTTCCCAAATAGAAAATGCATACACATTACTGTAGCTGCTGCAGAGAAAACAGACCGGAAATGTGTCATTTTCCTTTCCGGGACTAATCATACCTCAGGAATGCTGTATTCAGGAGGAGGAAGAAGAAGCCTCACAGAGATGCTTTTGAAGAAAAATTACAGCTTTGGCGATGGAGTCACAGGTCTCCAGGGCAGTCCTTGGAGTTTGGCTCAAAGAGGGTTTGTCTCTCATGTGCTTCCCATTAAAGTGCACCTAATCAACAGTAGAGAGATGTGTATGATGTCCCCATGCTGTGAAACTACTGCCGGGCCTTTTTTATCACAGCGCAGTGAGCTCCCCCTCCTGTTACCACCTACAGCAATCTGAGGACGATGTCAGCCAGTTTGACACCCGCTTCACTCGCCAGACGCCGGTGGATAGTCCTGACGATGGCTCCCTCAGCGAGAGTGCCAACCAGGCCTTCTTGGTAAGGGGTGCCCAGCGGAGCCTTGGTGCCAGGGGATGTGGGTGGCAGAGCCCTCCTGTGGTTACTCGGAAGAGTGGCCGTATTAGTGCTGCCTCTGACAGGACAGGGCAAAGCCTGAATCCAGACCCCAAGCCGGCATCACGGCGGGGTTGACCGTGTGCTTTTCCTGCAGGGATTCACTTACGTGGCCCCATCGGTGTTGGAGAGCATCAAGGAAGGCTTTTCCTTCCAGCCCAAGCTGCGATCGCCACGTCGTCTCAACAGCAGCCCCCACACACCTGTCAGGTAATGCTGGCGTGAGGGTGAGCCCGGAGCCATGACTGCATTGCTTTGGGGGGAGGAGAGAGAACTGGGGCCCTGCACATCAGGAGCAATGCTGCTTTCGGTGTCCCCTTCCCGTGGGTCTCTCGTGCTGAAGACTGTTCTGCTGGGGCCTTCGAGCCAAAAGGATCCTGGGGAGGCTTTGGGAGGTCGGGCAGAGCAGGATAACGTCGCCTGAACTCAGCCTCCTGTTTTGCAGCCCAGTGAAGTTTTCACCCTTTGAGGCCTTCAGACCAAGCACAACTGTGGAAATGATGGAGCTGCCATCCCCTCCCCTCGTGCCTGTGCCAGAGGTCACTGCCTCCCTGCCCATCAAGACACCATCAGGCACCAAGAAGCAGAAGCAAAAGGGAGGTCGGGGGAGGGCACGGTAGCTGGGCCAATCAGGAAGTAACTGGGCTGCCTGCCTGTCTGCCTGCCTCCCCAGGGGGCACTGCTCTCTGCTGGCTGGGCGGAGCTGGGCAGGGAGTAGAGCTGGCCCACAGGGCCCTTTGAGCCCAGGCGAGGAGCACGTGGTCTTCCTCTTGCAAGGGCCTTCCTCCCCTCCCAGCTGCAAAGGCCTGTGGTGCTGCTGCTGTTTCCCTGTGGTGGGGAACGATCTTTACATGAGGTGCTTTCGATTCAGCCTGTATCATGAATCATGATGGGAGTGGACAAAGCTTGGGGTGCAGAAAGGGCCCGTCGCAAGGCAGCTGCCCACAGCTGGGTATGCCTGCCCCCCTCTAGCAGTGTGCGTTGGGACCCGAAGGGCTTTGCCAGGGGATCGCAGTTGGGGGGCTGGGGGCTGGATTCCCTCACTGCTGCTGTGTCTGTGTCAGAGGTTTGGCATTTAGCAGGCAAGGGAATGAGCCCCTTTGCCACTGGTGCCTGGAAAGGAACTCGCCCTCTTCATGGGTCTTTATCCGTCTCCTTTCCCCAGAAGACACCAGGGGCCAAAGAGAGCTGTTGCCCCTCCCCACTTGACGTGTGCCGGATGGGCAGTACAAGCAAGGTCCTCTCCAACGACCCACCTGGCGTCTCATCTCTCTATATTCTGGGCTGTGAATGAATCCCAGGTATTGCCAACCAAATCATTTTGGCTAGACGCATGCTCAGAATGGGTGCTTGTTAAGAGGCCTAATAGATGGCATTGGCACGAGTGCTCTGATAGATATAGGAAGGGCTTTGAACCCTCACAAAGACCTCAGTCAATGCTAAGTGCAGTTGTTATAGCACGAGATCCAGCAACCCCTGTGCAGACAGGTTCCTTCTGCTTTATTATCACACGGAAGGTACATTTTCAAAAGGAGCTGCCACTTTTGAGGCTGGTGAGAGCAAGCAAATGAAGTGGTACAGTTACAAAGAGGGGAGCTGGTAGAGTTATGAGCCTCTGCCATGGGCAAGGGTCTCCACGTGGTTCCATCCACGGAAGTCATCAGTGGTGCTGCCGCCATTGCCGCCGCCGCCCAACACTCCTTCAGTCCATAGTGGGCCTTGTGGACAGTCTGGCTGTGATACTTCTAGAGGGTGGTGATGTGGAAATGCTTGCCACTGTCCTCCCAGGCTGCTGTCCCAGAGAAGGAATGTAGATCACTAAGTAAGGCCTCGGCACTGCCCTCTGCTGCCTTTGTGCCCTCTTCCTTGGAAGGCTGCTGTGGCTCAGCCTCTTCAGGTGGCTCAGAGTGGATGCTCTTATTGAGCTCTTCCTGCCTTTGCTGCTGCTGCTCCTCCTCCTCCTCCTGCTTGTCCTTCTGCTGTTGCTTCTCTGCTGCCATGTCCTCCTGCTGCTCTGGCTCCTCAAGCTCTTCCACTCTTTGCTCCTCATCCTCCTGGTAGCCCTGGGGCAGCTCCTCGGGAGGCAGCTCCCCCCTGAATGCTTGCCATTGGTGGATCAAGACTCCTATCAGACGTCGGGGATGGTACCTCCCTTGCGAATCACGGCTCAGTCTACGCCAAGCTAAGAACAGTAACAGGAGGAGCAGCAGCAGCAGACAGAAGAGAAGGCTCACGGTGGTAGAATCAGAATGGCCGCTGCCTCCTTCCTCTGCAGCTTTGGAGTTCTCCAGAAAAACCGGAAACAGCAGGAGCAGCGCAGAGAGAGCACGGGGGAACTGGAGACTCTGCAGGAAGAAGGGAGCCAAGATGAGTCACTGTCTCTGGGAGGCCAGTGTGCTAGCGCGCAGTTCTAGCTATTTTGCTTCGACCTCTGGAGAGGTTACAACTGTGTGGATCTTTGAATTATGCACTTAACTCCTAATTATGCAGTGTTAATTGGATTCTTCTAGAGACTGTTGATAGGGGAAAGGGTATAGATGGAGAACATGGGGAGCTGTAGGAAATTGCAAGGCTTTATGACTGCTAAAAGCACCTTCGTTTTTGAATGTTGACCAGAAATGTGCATCTTAACATTATTTAGTGTAGCTAGGAAGGCTGGCACCATAAAAAGAAGGAATTGCATTCCTAACTGTTAGTAATTTTCAGGCTTTTGTTGGATGCTGCAGTAGACGTGATAATAGAAGCCTGGTAGCCTTCCTGTGGATTTATAGACCACCCGCTCTTTCCTGTTTGCAGTTATTCAAAGGTGTGACAGAAATGGTGGCTTTAGTACAGCTCCATCACTGTGGTCATATCCCGCAATAAGGCTTTATCCCCGTGATACTCAGGGCAGGGTGCATTCTGTGTCAAAAAGAAAACTGTGTGCCAAGGAAAGCTTAATGGTGTGAGCTGTATACATTATGCAAATTAAGAAAAACTGCATGTATGTTTTGTATAATTTATTGTGGTTTTGTTAGTTTGGGGGAGACGTGAGGAGCTGTGCCAGATCCTGAAGCCCCACCTTGGGCTGCTGGGAATCTCGTTGAGCCACTCTCTTGGCTGCTGCGAATTCGGCAGGCTCTGTCTGCTTGCTTTTTAGACACAATGGCTGTGAAGATATGCTAGAAACATGCTCTTTTAAAAATAAACTATTGCGATTCCCAGTTCTGAGCCCCCTGCCCCACTCTGTGGGGCTTCTGTACCCTTTATGGAATCAAAGCCTACGCCTTAATGGTTTTTGGAGGGAGGAATTGTCATTGTGAAAGGCTTCTGCCTGTACTGGTATTTGCCAGTCCACTAACAGGGAGATGAGTTTCCCCAGGGTCCCCTGAAGCATTTTGTGCTTTTCCTCATGGCCTTTTCATGCTGCTTTGGCTAGAGGCAGAGCTTGAATGAGCCCTACATTCTCTTGCCCGCTGGCCAGAGGGGTTTGTACAGAGACCTTTGCACTGAGTCACGGTCAGTATTGTCTGCTCTGGTAGCGGCTCTCCAGGGTCTCAGGAAGATAATCCTTATTTATTTATTCGATTTATACCCCACCCTCCCTGTTAAAACAGGAAAGTTTGTGGTGGGAAACTGAGGGAAACTCCCATTGGGCTAGAAGCTGTGCTTGTCATAAGATCAGCACATTTTCTGTAAACTCTAACCAGCCCATGCCTGGGCTGTAGCTGATTAATTTGGCACCTGCTGACCATCAGTGTGGCCAAGATTTGTTCTCATGAATCCATTCTAACGGGTATCATTTTGCTTTTTTCCTCTAAACAGTTAAAAGCACACCCTTGTGGCCTTAACAGGATTGATACATCCTTTCATGCCCTGCTGGAATGAAGATTGTTTGCGATTATGAGGGATTACTGTATTGCGCCTTTATTCAACCAGTCGCCCCCCTACGGAAACCCCCCCGGGGCTCTTTTGCTCAGTGATAAGGGTCCCAAGATCACTCTAGCAATTGCAAGGTTTGTCTCAGTCCTTTTAGCCCTTGCCTCTAAAAAATAAGAAATATGTGTTTTCTGCCACTCAGTGAGCTTCTAAGGGCCCAAAAGGGAAGGGAAGTCAAAAGCCTACCAGTCGCTGTAGAGACCCATCAGCACTCTTGTGATCTGTAGACTCTACATTCGGCAGGCCAAGATTTGTCTTCTGTGGGATCATGTAGGCTAAGCCAGAACTTTAGCTCCTAGCCCACCTGCCTCCCCCTCCTCTACTAGCAGGCAAGGAGCGCTCGTAACGGCATCCTGCTGCATGAGTTGTCACAAGCCCTTTCTTCCCTTGTCCAGATACGTATGCGATAACGGTCTCGTGCTCTCAGTTGGTCCCTGCTACATTTGCTGCTGTATGTAAGCAGCGGTTTTCTAGACTTGCTGTTTTGTGCTTTTCTCCTCATTGGAGTCCCTTCTAGCCTTTATGAGCACCCGGGAGCTCTGGTTTTTTCCCCTGGTATTTTGTGATGTCTTCCAGTAGGTGTGATTATAGAAGCAGTTGGATTTAGATGGCACAGTGAGGTCGGAGACTTGAACCTCCCTTGTAACACATCCCAAGCAGCAATCTATTTTATTTGCCCCCATCTTCAGGAACAGAAGAGTCCAGCAAAACAGCCTGTGTGATGTTAGTTTGCAGGCCTTTGCTCAGGGAAGTTGTGAGCTCCACTTCATACTCCTGCTGGGGGTTAAATCTATCTAAATTGTAGCTCTGGTTCCCTTTATTTATAGGAATCCAAGAAAGCTTACATTGATGTAACCTTAAAGCAAAGCAGTTTGCTGGCCTACATTCTGGGAGTCACTAGGTGCTCTACTTTCAGCCTCGTTTGCAGTGAAGTAGAGGGCTTCTCTTGGTTGCCCATCTGGCCAGGGCTGCCAAGGATTGTGGAAGGAGAAATCGGGAGCTGATGATGGCTGTCTGTTAGATTGGCTTGTTCACAGTACTTTGTATTATCATCATCATCATCATCATCATCATTAATTTATGAATTGCCCCATCCGTGCTGTTGCAGGGCTCTGGGCGATGTACATAGAATTAAAAACAGTCAACAAATGAAACAATCGAACATATGAAGTTACATTGAAAAACAGATGGCGAATCGTATCTTAGAGGTAATCCCCCCCCCCCCTTACAGGCTCTGCTGCCTGTTTTCTGGGCAGGGGGGAAGGGGTCAGAACGAGGATGGGGAGCTGAGGAGGGGGCCAGCCGAGGTGGAAACAGTCGCTGCCCTCAACCAAAAGCCTGGCGGAACATCTCTGCCTTGCGGGCCCTGCGAGAACCGCACGAGGTCCCGCAGCAGGGCCCTGGTGTTGTTTGGCAGACAGTTCCACCCGGTTGGGGCCAGGACTGAGAAGGCCCTGGCCCTGGCCCTGGTCGAGGACCGCCGGATGTCCTTGGGGCCCGGGGATCCCCCGCGTGTTGTTATCCGAGTAGCGCAACGCCCTTCCAGGGACATAACAGAGGAGATGGTTCCGTACATACGTTGGTCTCTGACTGCTCAAGGCCTTATAGGTCGAAACCAAAATCTTGAACGTCACTCGGTTTTCCACTGGAAGCCAGTGTAGCTGACGCAGCACTGGATGGATATGTCCTGTCCGTAATGTTCCCATCAGGACTCGCACCGCCGTGTTCGGGATCAGTCTCTAGGGCAGGCCAGCATAAAGTAAGTTGCGGCAGTTTAGCCTGGTGGTGGCTGTGGCATGGATTACCGTGGCGAGGTCTGGGCGTGACAGGAAGGGGGCCCGTTGCCGAACCTGTTGCGGATGGGAAAAGGCCCGTTTGGCGATCTGCATGATCTGGGCCTCCGTATTCAAGGAGTCACCCAAGATCACTCCCAGCCTCCTGAGGGATTGTGCCGGTGTTAGTGGCACTCTGTCAGGGGCAGGTAAACTGCGCCCTGACCCTGAAGCCCCCTTCCCCAGCCACGGAACCCCCGTCTTAACTGAATTCAGTTTCAGCCTGCTCTGTTTCAACCACCCAGCCACAGCCTCCAAACCCCTGGTGGAATCCGGGTGGCTGGGGTGTCGTCAGTGTACTGGTGACACCCTAGCCTGAAACTCCGCATCAGTTGGGCGAGGGGGCACATATAGCTGTTGAACAATACTGGGGAGAGAAGTGCCCCCTGAGGGACCCCACATGTGAAGAAAAAGAAGAAGAGATTGAATTTATACCCCGTATCTGGAGGACACATTCTCACCCAGTGCCACCCTCTGTCCCCAACCATGGAGAAAAGAGGTAAGCCATTGAAGGGCTAGCCCCCGAACTCCTACGTCGGCAAGGCGGTGGGTCAGAAGATCATAACTGACCGTGTGAAGCGCTGCCATAAGATCTAGTAACAATAGCAGTGCCGACCGCCTTGATCCATCTGTCTGCAGATATCGTCTGCTAAGGCAACCAACACCGTCTCCGTCCCATAGCCAGGGTGGAAACCTGATTGGAATGGCTGTTGTGCTGATGTGTCATCCAGAAAACCCTGAAGCTATTCAGCTACCACTCTCAATTACCTTACCACCCAATTTCGAATGTATTGTTCCTGGGTAATTGGCAGGATTTTTTCAAGAGCAGTACAGCCACGGCCTCCTTAAGACCCTCCAGGTAGGGCCCTGTTGCCAGGGACATGTTGATAATACCCATCGAGGAACCTCGTATCCTCTCATCGCTGGCTTTTACCAGCCACAAGGGGCACAGATCAAGGAGGAACGTTGTTGGTCTGGCAGCACTCAGGATTCTGTCAACATCAGCATCAGAGAGCAGGTTGAAGGTATCAAAAACTGAATCCAAAGGCGGCCAAGGGGCCTCCAGTTCACTTACTGTATCAGTATTGGCAGGCAGGTCGCGGCTGAGCGACAGAACTTTATCTGCAAAGGAGCTCGCAAATGCCTCGCAGCTAATGCCCAAATCCCTCTTATTTTGATTCCCTTTTGTCAGGGATATCAAAGACTGAATCACTCTAAACAATTGTCCTGGGTGTGAGCTAGCAGATGCAATGGAAGCGGAGAAAAATGTCTTCTTTGCCGCTTTCACTGCCACCTCATAGGACTTCATAAGCATCCTATAAGATGTTCTTGTATCCTTGCCTTGAACCCTCCGCCAAACGCACTCAGGCCATCTGAGTTCTTGTTCCATCCCCCTGAGATCTTTGGTCTGCCAGGGGGATGGTCCGATGGGAGAGGGCAGGGGGCATTGGGGGGCAGCCTCATTGACGGCTTCAGTCCTCTGCCAGCTCATCTAGCGAGGCTCCGGGAGGCCTTGGATCCCGCAGAGCATTCTGGAAACCACTTGGAGGATCCATTAGCCTCTGCAGGGAACACCCAGCCAGGCCTCCAGAACCAGGTGGTCAGACCATGGCCCATCCTCCCTTGAAGTCAGATCCACCTCCATCCCCATGCCAACAATCAAATCCAACGCGCGGTCCGCTTGAAGTGTGGGGCATGATTCAAACTGGGTGAACCCCAGTGCTGCCATGGAAGGCTCCAGATCTGATGCCTGACTGGAGGTCACAGCCTCATCGACGTGGACGTTGAAGTCCCCCCAAAATTAAAAGTCTTGGAAATTCCAAGGCCCACCCGGCCACGGCCTCCAAGAGCCCCGGCAGGCTGTCAGCTGGTGCGCACCAGGCGGACAGGTGGCCAAGTTCACCTCAGCATCCCACATCCGGCCTACACAGCCAAGGCTGGAGACGTTTGGGACGGGGAGTGGTTTGAAGGAGAAATCCTCCCCGATGAGTAAGGCTACCCCACCCACACACCCAGCCTCGGCCCAGACCTTGCAACTAGTTGATAGCCTCCTGTGGGCAAGTATTCTGTTGTGACATGAAAGCTTAGAGCACGAGTCCCCAGTCTTTTCGAGCCTGAGGGCATCTTTGGACTTCTGATGCGGGGGGGGGGAGGGTGCAACAACAAAATGGCTGCCTCACGAGGCAGAGCCAACTAGAAAATGGCTGCTTGCAGACACAAAGCCAACCACAAAATGTCTGAGAGTGAGTTATACCTAATTCAAATAGTAACTCTTCAATATTTTCAGGCAAAAGCTGGCCTTTTATAACAGCCTTATAAAATGAACATATAGTTTAAGAATGTTTTCTTGCGTACACATATATTAATGCCGTAAAGATCCTTGTGCTGTTATGGTAGCTGTTGCTGGAGTGATTTTTTTAAAAACCTGCACAGCCGTGCCCTGCTGGGGAAACATCCTGCCCATTTTCTGAAAACACTCGGTGGAACCCCTGGCTTAGAGTATTGCGCCAAAAGTAGTGATGCTGTTATAATGACAGGCAGAGGAAAGCAGGCAAAGGAAAAGACTTATGCAGAAAGGCATCTTGGTTCTAGTGTGTTTTTAGACTGCTTACATCAGCACTACGGTGAGTTAAAATTACAATTCCTATTCTACACGGGCAGTGCAGTTCTGCTTTGTGTGTGAGTAAAAACAGCCGAAAATATTTCCATAGCTGTAATGTTTTAACTACAACTAGTTTTTGGTGCTAGCCTTGTGCTTGTTTCTGCAGCACACACAGAGGAACATTTCCTCTAGAGCAGTGGGTGGGTGGGTGGGTGGGTTCCTCTGTGTTGCTGAGCACGGGTAAAGGCAATTGTTTTCTTACTAGCCCACTTCCTATAGCCTTTCCTTCCCCTTCAGTTAACTATAATAACAACTACAGGCCCTGCTGGGCCCTCTGCTGCAGGATGTATGAGCAACTCTGTCAGGCATGGCGGGTGTATCTATCAGTAGAAAGATCTTTTTAAATGGGGGGGGGGGGAAATAGAGCAGAAATGCCCCAAAGTTGTCCCAGGAAAACAGAAGTGTAGCTTTCCTCCTTGCTCTGTTGTGGTAGCTGGGCAGGACTCTCAGCACCTCAGTGCCCTTCACGAAGCACCCTAGTTTCAATTAGTATTGACAGGCAATAGAGAATCGGCACAGCCTGAATTATTCCCCTCCCTCAATGAAGGGGAAATAAATTTGAACAAAGTCCTATAAGCAGTTAAAAGATACAGTGCCTAGTTCTACAGCACCCAACTGCTTGCTGTTACTAGAAATCTTGCGTACTGGGCTGAAGAGAATGTGATGCCTCCAGGTGCTTCTAAAATGTTCTCATTTTAAAATTTTCCATAGTATGCCTTCCTACTTTAGAAGGTGTAGCACTTTCCCCTCCAGTGTTTTCCTGAACAATTGCTAGAGCAATAGGATTCCACTATAAGGATGTCTGCATTTTTTCTGGAGCCAGGATGTTGTGTGGCGTGGAGGTGCTTGACCAATCAAGGTGGGGCATGCATGTATCTTGGACATCTGTCCCTTTGTCTCCCACTGCGACCATACTTGAACCTTCTCTACTATGGTTAGGAAAAGAGAAAGCCTAGGAGATCTTACTTAAAACAAAAGTTTAACAAGTAGAGGAGTTCGGTTGTAGCAGAAAACAGTGCTGTGATTCTCTCACTGACTTAAAGCCGTGCTCGAGGCACCTTTCTTAATCTCCTGTTTGGAATTCTCCTTTGGTAGTCTTGGGTTTTACTTTCTTTTGGCTTCCCGCTACTTCTGGCAGCCAGCTCAAGTTACTGCCACACAGGGGTGCATAGTAGCATGTGGCAAGTAATCTGGATGTGGGGTTAGGAATCAAGGCAGTGTGTCTTAACTAAATAAACTTTGTTACTACAATACACAGCACAAGAGTAAATATAATACAGTTCTAGCTTGCAATCTAAGCAAAGGTTACAAAGCTCGCGGAGACATTTCCTGAGCACTTGTTCCCCCACACCCGTACCGAACGTTGGCTGGTGGATATATGCATAGCGAGGATACTGGTCCTCCTGCAGTCACACACACACACACACACAGAGGGACAACTTTTTCAGTTCCTCCCCCCCACCCCCCATGTATGTCAAATGAGGTCTCAGGCCATCTGGAGTTGGGGTTCTGGAATTTTGCGCAGTTTGCCCAATAGAGGTTAACTTAGTAGCATCCGTGAGATGCTGTGTTTTCTCTCCCAGTTGCAAAAGCCAGACAGGACTCTTCCCAGCCCTCAGGTCAGCAAATCTCTCCCATCAAATATTTGTCCGCTTGCATCTCATCCCTCAGAATGTTACAGGTTATTCAGGGGCAGAGCTTGAGCTGCTCACCATACCACACGGAAGTCTCTGCCTCCATTACCCCCAGCGCCACCCTGGCTGGATTTGACTCCTCTTCAAATCCATCTCCCTCTCCACCCTTACCAGACCTGGCCAGATAACTTACCATTCTGAATCACACAGGGGCGTCTTCAGTTGGTTGTTCTGCATAGAACCTTTAGATAAGTGAGACTTTGCGAGCAGCAGCCTTGTGGAAAGCGGGGTGGAGGAGCACTTCCTGTGTATGCACATGTGAGCACACACACACATGTTGAGGGAAGGTGAAGAAGCTGCAAAGTTTCACTTGCTGCCATATGCAAAGTTTGTAGCAGTATTGCCCATCTCCCTGTTTCAGGTAGGGCAGCACAGTGGAACTTCCTTAATGTCACTTGATTTACAAGTGTAGTACATAAACCTGAGCTAGTCCTAGGTCACGTATTGTTACAGGGAAGGCGCCTGGGGAGGTAGCAGTTGTTCAGGATAAAACTCCATTATTAAAGCAAAACTATTTCCGATTCTGCTTAGATACCTCACTAGAGGACAGTATTAAAATGTGCCCCATCAGTCGATGCTTGCCGTCATTGTCCTTTTAACATGAAATAGCAGATTCATATGGGATCTTTTAAAAATCCTTCATCTGAATTCATAGACTATGATCCTAGTATTGAAAGGATAGCCACTGCAACTGAGGTAGTATTTTTAGAAAGTCAAGTTGTAGTAGTACTTTGGATTGCCACAGTGATGCAACTGTAGGAGCAAGCAGGCCACACAGCAGTGACCGAGCTGAATGTAAATAGAATTCCTTACGGAATGCTCCCCTCCGGCCCTCCACGAGGTCGAGACACTCAGCGGCTGTCCTGGGGTTCTGCCTGGCAGCATCCCGCTCTCACGTGCCCACCAGGCTGAGCCAAGGGTGTTCCTTTCTGCTCACTGGGTGTCAGTTTGTCGATCAGAGTGTTTCCCATTAAGAGGGCTGGCACTCCATCTGGGCTGCATTTACAGGCTCCACTTAATGCCCACATCTCCTGCTTTTGCTCTGACCAGCTTTGCAGGGATAGCTTACCATATTTGCACACTCCTGGGGATTTAGCAGTTTATTGACAAACATCCTGCCTTCCCCTCACACTCTTTTTTAGTAACGTGTTTGATTTGGGCTTATTGTGGTTACAGAGAACAAACCTTCAGCATTCAAAATAATATGAAATTTGTTCAGAAGTGATTGTACACACACACACACATACTCTGGATGGCAACAGCTCAAGCTAGGTTACAAAGTGAAGCTGCATGCACACATTACTCTGTCCTTTATCTAAATATATCCTGACTGTGGTTATTCTAGGGTGGATTCAACTCTTAAAGTTAGTGTTGTATCAGTCATCTATTACCTTGAGAAAGACTATGTCTCTGTCAGGAATCCACGTCCACAGAGTGATGGTCAGTGTTCCTAACCTGTGATACAAGACTCTGTTTCCTGTCGGCTCAGGCAGCAGAGCGGTCTCAGCTCGGTACCAACCGCAGGCTTCCTGCCAGCCCTAGAACTGCCTCTGTGGCTCCAGCTGAGAACAGGAAGAGCCGTGCACCTGTCGTCCTCCCACACAAAGAACCGGCTCACTTCTCTGCTGGAGAAAAGAAATAGTCAGCTACAGTCAGTGCTTCCCTTACATAAGATGCACTGGGCCCAGGACTAGGAAGGCAGCTGAGCCAGGTGGCCATCAGCATGTTGACCCTGCCCACCACCCTCTTGATACAGAGCATCTTGAACGGAAGGGTGGCAGCTGCAGATTTCCAAATGAAGAAGGCAGAGCTGAACTTACACACATGCACAGAACAGGCACACAAATTTGGTAGTAGATGTAGAACAGCTCAGAGGAATAATCTGCTGGCACCAACAGTTTCCACGAGGGTCTCTAGACCTTGGCTAGTGAATCCACGGAGTTGTGAGGAGCCTATGACGCCTTAGCCCCGTGCAGAGGATGATGTCCATTAAGTACTATGAGGAAGAGGCGAGTGGGCGAGGTGACAGATTTTACTGTTGGCAAGTGTAAGGTGATGCACACTGGAGCAAAAAATGATGTCTGAAGTAGTTGACGGAGAGGGAAAGACCTCGGGATCACAGTGGACAGTGCCATGAAAACGTCAGACCAGCGTGCTGCAGCGGTGGAAAAAAAAGAACAGGCAAACTCCACCCTGGGGATTATTAGGAAAGGAACTGAAAATAAAGCAGCCAGTATTATAATCTCCACGTATAGATCTATGATGCAGACTCATCTAGAATACTGTGTGCAGTTCTGGTATCTCAAAAGGACACTGCAGTGCTGGAAAAAATACAGAAGAGGGCAACCAAGGTGATTCGGTGGTCGCAGAGTCTGGTACTTTTTGGTTTGGAAAAAAAGACAACGGTGGTGGTGGTGGTGGGGAACATGACAGAAGGTCACTAAATCACACCTAGGGTAGAGAGTGTGCACAGAGAATTTTCTCTCTCCCAAAATACTAGAATTCAAGGGCATCTAATGAAGTTGATGGGCAGTAGATTCAAGTCAGATAAAAGAAAATACTTAACATTTCATTAAAGTGTGGAGTTCGCTGCCAGAGGATGTAGTGATGGTCACCAGCTTTAAAAGGGGGACAGACCGATTCATGGAGGACAGGTCTTTCCGTGGCTATTAGGCCTGGTGGTTAAAAGGAACCTCCAATCAGAAGCAGCAAAATTCTGAATGCTCGTGCCGATCGCAGGAAAAGGTCTGTCTCCATGCCCTGTTGGCCCCCCAGGATAACTGGTTGGTCACGGAGAGTGGACTAGGTGGACCACTGGTCTGATCCCAGCAGGGTACTCATGTCTCATGACTCCTGTGCTCCAGCAGAGGGCTCGGTTTGCCTGGCAGTTACTAATATCAGCACAACCACCATAAAACAGCTTGCTGGAGGCTAATGCATTTGAAGAAACTTTACCCCAACCCACCTCCAGAACTACATTTGGGGAGGGGACAACAGACACTTGCAGAGAGCTGTGGCTTTATAAAGACTTTTATTTGGAATGAAAATATAGATCTTGACCCTGAATAGTTTCCCACCCCACCCCACCCCTTTCTGTATTTAGTCAGACCCTGCTTCTCTGAGGGCTGGAGAGGGGTGTGGTCCCAGATGCAGTGATCTCAAGTCAGTGACTGGATGGCTGGTTTCTTCCACAGCTGCACTCACTGGTCACCTCCGCGGTGTCTTTGCAAACATGAATTCAGGAAAGGTAGCAGAAGAATCCTCCTCAACAGGATCTCAGTGGTCTTAACGGGAAAATGGGAAGAGACCTGGCCAGCTCAACACTATATCATGCCCCCAGGCTGTAACGGGGCGGGGGGGGGGGGGGGGCCCGGGCC